CTACTACTACTACTACTACTACTCTACTCTCTCTACTACTACTACTACTCTACTACTCTACTACTACTACTACTCTCTCTACTCTCTCTCTCTCTCTCTCTCTCTCTCTCTCTCTCTCTCTCTCTCTCTCTCTCTCTCTCTCTCTCTCTCTCTCTCTCTCTCTCTCTCTCTCTCTCTCTCTCTCTCTCTCTCATTCATTTGGAGGTCCAAGCTAGAAACCCCCAAAAAAAACTTCCTTGAATCTCCATTGAAGCCAATCAGTAAAAAGCTCAAGTATTGTGTATTTTTTGGATTTGGGGTTCGATGGAGCTGATTAAGCTGAAATTTTTAACACTTAAGCTTATTAGATCTGTATTTTTGGGTTTTTGCTTTGAAAACCCTATGATGGGTTCTAGGTCTGATACATTCAAATTGCAAGCATCTCACAGTGATTATTGCGTGTTTTATTTTCTCCCACTAGTATGTATTAGATGTGAAATTGGGTAGACCTTGGGTGGCAGGCTTGCGCAATCTGGAGAGTATAAATTTGTCATTTACTCAAATTGCTGATAGTGGTTTGAGAAGGCTCTCTGGTATTCTTGAGCTCTAAAAGGGGGGAATGCTCTTTAAGCTCATCAATGTCGATTTTGTGGTTTTTTGAGCTGAAAAAGAAACCACGACCCAAAAAATCCAAAAGTGAGAATTTATTTGAAAAAACCAATGTTTTATACATGAATTAAAATATTTATTTTCTTTTGAATATATAGATAATGAAGAACCAAGAAAAGCCCTCTCTCGGTCACTGTCACAGAGGTACGACTAGTTTAAATTTGTCTTAGAACTGTATTTTTGAGGTGTTTTGGTTTGAAAACCCTGTGATGGGTTTGTTTTTATGGGTTATTGGAGATGAGATAATCTTCTGATTAATTTGATGACATTATTGGTCTGTAAAATTGTATTAGATCTGTATTTTTTGGTTTTTTGCTTTGAAATCCCTGTGATTGGTTTGTTTTTCTGTGATTGGGTTATTGGACTTGAGATAATCTTCTGATTAATTTTCTGATTATTTTGATGGCACTCTTGGTCTGTTATAGAAGATAAATTGATAGATTTTTTCTGGTAGATCATTCAAGCATATTAGAATTTGGAGTTGGGTCCAGTTCCACAAGTTTTTCAGCTGCATATTTTGCAAAATGCATAACCCTTTATTCTTGAAGAATAAAACAGGGCTTTCCAAACCAGTTCATCTGGTTCAATGGAATATCTCCATGAATGAATTAGGGATCTCCAAACCAGTTTATCTGGTTCAAATGGAATATCTCCATGAATGAATTAGGACTCTCCAAACCAGTTCATCTGGTTCAATAATCCGAAATTTTATGGAAGCAAATGGGGGACTGGAGCAGTTCCCTGAAATTCCCCAAGAACTCAAGAGTCTAGTTCCTTATTCTACTTACATTGAACTTGCAAGTCTGTTGAAGTATATGTTTTTGAACTGGGGAATTATTATAGCTGCTCAGGTATGGTTAATAAAACCATAATCAGATGGACTTAAGTATTTTTCCTCTACGAGCACCAATCTAGAGGGAATAATTGAAGAGTTGAGTTTTACTATTTGTTGTTCTGTCTACTTGAACTTATAAATCTTTTAAAGAATCTTATTTTGATTTCTGGAATAATTGTGGCTACAAAGTTATGGTTACTGAAACAATAATAAGATGGACTTGAATACTTTTCCCTACCAGGTCCTTCTACTTGGAGAATCCCAATCATTCTATAGTTCATATGTTCTGGATAATTGATACCTCACTGTTCTAAAAAGGTTTCTAGCATGTTCTAGTAAAAATTAAAAGCAAGCCTTTATGCTGATTTGGTTCATAATGTTGTGCAACCTTTCGGTGCTTGAATTTTCACTCCAAAAGAAATCTGCTTGCAATAAGGGAAATAATGGTCGTTGCACCCAAGTCAATGGATTCAAAAAATGAAGCAATGGTTGTAAATAATTTCGAGTTGGAGTTGATAGTGAGTGGGGTGAGTAAATTGTGTAAATTGTTATTGTTTGCTTTCAAGCATATTTGATTTGAATAGGCTTATTTGTGTAATCTGCAATGATTGACCAGTGAAGTGCTCATTCATTAGCCAGAAACTCGAAGTACCAATTTCAAACAGACACCAACCATAGAGACTACAATTGAACATGATTATAGCCGTCAGTGAAATTTTCTTCTTTTTTCTTTTCCTCTTATGACAGTGCAATTGAAAAGGATTACATACTCCAAATCGATGAAAGTAAACTGGTTTACATACTATCTAGTCATATCAAACACTTTTCAACAAAAGTAATACAAACATAAACGCATTCGCTACACACAAGAAAACTAAAAAACGTTGCATGTACTCTAAAGTATCAATAATTTGTTGTTGAATGACCATCGGTTTAGGCTCGACCATAATACGTCTGAAGATTTCTACTAGATGATGTAGAGGCTCAGCTTCTAAAGTACTCATTAAGGTATTTGAAAGCACTTTCCAAAGTATTTCAAAGGCACTCCAAGGCTTCATTAGTTATCCATAAAAAGCTCCCAATGATTCTTGGGCAAAGACAAATGGTTTTTAAAATGATCCAAGCATGAGCTTGGAGTTGATGTTTAAAGTTACAAGCTGCTTAAATCTGTGCCCAACAAATGAATTCCATTCCTCCATCTTGAACACTTACAAGCAACTGAGTAAAAGCTCGACTTGTCCTTTGTTTTTGTATGCTTTTGTGCGCCAAAGAGAAAGGCATAGGCAGGGGAGGCGTTTGACACAACAAAAAGGCTTTCTGTATAAGTGCTTCATAATTATGTATTTAGTACAAACAATAAATGACCAGCCCCTGCAATCACCCCTCCATTACCAAGAAAAAGAAAAAAGAAGAAGAAAGAGAAAAAACAGTACTAAAAAGTGAACTGATATACCAAGTCCAACCATGTTCACTGGCTCCATACTTTCTCAGCTAACAACTCCAAGAAAAGGAGCCCAAATAGTCGTATCATCGAACATTTGAGCCTTCATATCGACCAATTCATCTTCCTTGCGCTAAAAACTACATTATTGTCCCCTTCTCAACAACCTCCATGCAAACGCATGCATGAATACATAAATCACTCATTGCCTGAATAGTCCTTTTTCAGCAATCAAGATCTTAATTGTTAAAAGTTTTGCCTGGAATGAAAAATATTATCAATGTTAAACATCAAGAATGATAAGATAAGAAAGGAATAAAAAGAACTAAATTAAAATTAAATCAATATTGGATTTTACCAACTCGAATTTTCAAAATTACCTGATCTCATGCGGTTATGAAGATCCACTATTGACCCTGCGTAACAACAAAATCTAATATTATATATAAGCTGATTTTCCGACCAATGAAATCCTGAAAGAGCAACCCATATCTGGTCACAAGCAACATACAACATGCACATCCATCCATATATACAATAAGTACATAAAATATTTCACACAGATGCTTAATACGTAATGCTTCTTACCCTCAATGCTCATGTCCCACGCTCTTATGAGACAAAATCTTATTGCGGACTTCGAAATAACCCTGTAGTAAGAAAAGAAAATCCAATATTAACATTTCATAATGCATTCACAATGAGTACTATCATATGTAAATTCTAATAGATATAGATTGAAAAGATTATACAATGAAAATTCAAAGGAATCTAAAGGGATGGATTACTACTTTTCACGAATGAATGGTGGACAATTTCTTCTGTCATGTTCAGTGCTCTGGCAAACTACACATTTTCTAGACTTTTCCATTGGCTTCCATTCCTCTAATCAAGCTTTTTTTCTTGCATTTGTTGATCGTCCATTTGCCCGTGCTCGTAGAGGATCAAGGACATTTTGGCAGTTGTAACTTCCATTTGGTGTGTCAGTAGATCTAGAAGCTCTCCTCTCATCATTGACATGGGTCATGGTATCAACCTGTGAACCTCGCTTACAAACGAATTTACCATCAATCTCTATGATATCATTGTGTATTAAAGATAATACAAAATCATGAACCTCCACACTTTCTGACGCACGCTCAGCGATGTATCAAACAGCCTGCAAGACATTGTTATATCGAATGGAGCGTGGTAGTGCAGATGGATCATGAAATTGTTTGCCACTTTCATCAATAAAACACCCCCTCTTTATGTCCTTTGACCAACGCCTCATTAAGTATAAGGGATTTCAAAAATATTTTTCATCATAAAAATCTTCAACACGTACCTGCAAAGAAGGCCCATCCTCTCCTGCAAAGAAGGCCCATCCTCTCATATAAGTGACAATTGCAAGAAGCCCTCTTCTCATGGGGATTGAATTCCACCAAGTATGATCTAGATTTGGTTCGCATATCTGCCACCTTAAAAGTGGCAAGCTGTCCATTTTCATCAACTCACTCACTCATAAAATTCATACAATTGGCAACCTCTTCCACAAATATCTTCAAAATCTTTTGAGTATAGATTTTTGATGCCTGTGACTCAAATAAAGAAGTTGTTCTTAAGATTGGAGTAGTTGTAATGTCTTTTAAGTTGTTTTTCTTTTCTTTTCATACCTTCTTATCTTGCACCTTGACACATATTTCCAATAATGTGCGTAGGCTTGTTTTGGATGTCAAGTACATCTTGAAATGCTTATTCATCCATTCACTTCTTTGGGTAGAAGTCATACCCGTTGTGACTTGCCAGTCAAGTATGCATCCACCCATTACATGCAACAACCATAAAGTCTATTTAGCCATTCATTGCTTTCCAACTCATAGTTCTCAATCATTAATTTCCTTCCCAATTCAAATTCTTCTATTGTTGGGCTAGTTATACAACCCCTGAAGGTATCTGAAAAAGAAGAATGCATGAGCAAGACGTGACATATATATGCTACTTACAGTAACGATGCTCACTCTGGTAAAAAACTTGTCTCACTGCGGCTGTAATTGCATGGTCTTGATCGGTGAGAATAACACCCAATTGTTGTCCACCTATTGCTTCTAACCAATTTTCAAATACCCAAACAAATGATTCTACCTTCTCATCACATATGAGTACAAAGCCAAAGAATGTTGTATTGAAATTGCGATTTACACCAAGTATGGGTGCAAAGGACATACTAAAAGAGTTTGTTTTGTATGTGGTATCAAATGTAATCACATCAGAGAAGCATTGATCAAAAACTTTACATTCGCATCTACCAAGAAGATGCTGAGAATGTGATCGTCTTCCTCTAATTTCAATCTATAGAAAAAAGATGGATTTGATTCTTTCATTTTATAGAGCCATTGCATAATTAGACTACCATCTTCTCCTCTTAGTTTTCTTTTAGTACTAGTAATTTCATTTTCGATGTCCTTTTGTGTACATGTGACATTCTCAATCCCTCCAACTTTCTCAATGAAAATGTCATGAATATGTCTTGGCTTAACCATTGTCGAACTCATTGAATTTAGCAGCAACTTTGTACCACTAGACAATGTTCGGTGGCAGCAAATTAGACTAGCTTTTCTTGGACTGACTAGATCGTGATTGTGATCATCAATAAACCTAGTCACAACCCATTCATTGTCCGCATTTCTAGTGATTCCCAGCTTAGTCTTACACCCACACCTTGATTTAGGAAGTTCCTTTTCACTTACATGATCTTTTACTTTGCGAAATCCTTCCTTAGAGCAAATAATTTCCCTATGAATCCTTTCACCTTTTTTATTATGGGTAGTGCCCTTACGGATACCAAAACCTTTGGCTAATGCATAAGCCTTATAGTAATCCATTGCATCTTCCTCTGAAGAAAACTTCATTTCTACATGGGGTACATTTGTTTCTAAGACTTTGGTTGAGGAGTCAAGTTCTCCATCCTGCATTTCTGTGAATTTTCTAGGATGGGTTGCAAGATAAGGAACCTGCTCCATGAGCTCATTGGTGTCACCTATGTTGTCTACAATTGCGCAGGTGGGAGATGACACACAACCTGAAACGGTGTGATCCATCTAAATTTTTCAACGGATCCTACATAAAAAGACAAACTATATAAATATATGTATTCAAACATTTCTATAGACATAACAACACTCTTAGTAGACCAGATAGCCCATTTGTTACATACATTATGCAAATTTAACATTTAACATGATAAACAATCCATAGTTATATACACATGATAAACATCTCAATACACAAAAAAGGCATGCTAAAAATGAGTCATGGGATTTGGTCATGCTAAAAATGAGTCAAACTTGTAGATTGCAAGAGACAGATGTAATAGCCTAGTGCATATGTGACTCTTTGTTGCATGCTAAAAATGAGTCACGGAATTTTTTCTTATATTCAGATCCATAACAGCCTTTAAAATATCAATTTAATCAGATAATGATCTAACAATGCTTAGGGCAATATAATGCTCAATCAAAAAATCCCATGCCATGGTAACAAGAAAACATATCAGTGAAGGAGAACCACATGTACCATAATTCAACAACAAAAAGAAAAGAAAAGAAAATAAAATAGAAATACCATTGACTGTTCCTAGGAAACCATTGCAGTTAGAGTCCTCTATGAAAAGTTTCAGTTTGGTTCCTCCAAGAATTTTGCTATTTGCATTGATGTCATCAACTGCTGTCTCAACTGCAACCTTTGCAACTCTTCCAATGGTGGAGTTCAAAGTAAAAACAGCCCCAATTGTCACAGATGGTGGCCTTAGGCATTCACCATAACCCCAAAAATATAAAGCCCAAACCAGCAACAAAACAAATTGTGAAGATCCCATAATAGAGGCTCACAATTAATAAAAGACCCAATTCTTGATCTCAACCTTGATAGTTGAATCTCCACCCAAATTTTCAAAAGTCAAAACTTATGCCTGATCACAACCCAACTTTCTTAATCTAAGATGAACGTAAATACATATGAAAATTCCATCAATCCTCCATTTTAGTGGCCACCTCCATCAAGTATGTAAACCATCGCTAATAACAAAATATAATTAAATTTGTTCCCCTGAATTATATGTAAAGTTATATAAGACTTAGAGAGAACCGGGCGGTTTTTCTATCAATGAAATCAGAAAAATTATTCCCTCTCCTCTTCTTCTGATTCCCCTCGCCCTCTTTCCCCTCAATTTGTGCCACAATTGGCTATGAGAAATTCATAACCCCCATCAAGGACGACGAAGAACGCCAAAAAACCTCTAAAACCCTTGTTGATGGCCATGACAGTGAGCCAGAGACGAAGCTCTTCGATGATTCTTAACAGTTTTTTCAGCGACTTTTGACAGATGAAGATGAAATAGGCCTCTTAAATGGATTCTGTGAATATTCTAAAAAAGGAACAGGTAGTTTTCATGATCTAGCCGCTTTTTACGACCTGATCAAAAGCTCTGTGCAACTTGATTTCATTCCTCTCTCCCTCACTCAAAACTCGATTTCATTCCTCTCGCTCTCACTCAAAAGGAAATGGCAAATTGGAGAGTGAACATCTCTATCGCTTTCTTTGCAATGGGAGGGTGAACATCGACAATGCTTGCTAGAGGACAGAGGCGCGTGTGGGGGAGAGAGAAGAGGTTTTTTGTGGAGGCGTGGCCCATGGGCGACCACATGCGGGGCACGTGGTGAAAAGCATAGTTCCCCTTCTCTCTTTCCTCTTTGTAAATTTTTTATATAAGGGTAAGTCCCTAATTACTTAGATTAAGGCGTTACTCAAAATTTCACTTTTGATGCTCAAAAATGGATCATGTTGATCTCAAAACGTATGGACATGACACAAAATGATTTTCAAGTTTTTTTATAATTGTCAATTTTTAATATTTTAATGTGTTCATAGAACTGCTCGATTTACACTATTTTTGAAGTTTTAAATTTTATAATTAGATATGAAAAAGAAAACTTCAAGCCATCCCAAATATTTTCAATACTGAAACAATTCTTCGATACTATTTGAAGGTGCGTTTTACTTTGATTGTTTAAAGTTTTACTTTGATTGTTTGGGCCTCAACGTTATACAAACCACATATTTAATTTTTTAGGTTTTTTTTCTTCTCTTTTTATTTTTTGAAATTTGTTTTTACTTAGATAAGTTACTTGTATTCGCCTTAATATATCGGCTCGTGTTAAGGCCAAATCATTGGCCCAAGCCGTATTTTAAAACATTATTTGAGGGATAAAAAGAGTTGGAGATAACTATTAACCTATGTAATAGAAGAATATACAGCACAACGAGAGATGAGAGGGTCACACACAAGACTCCACTTAAGATAACAAAGAGAGAGAGAGAGAGGGGATATATCTACTAACATTTTTTCTTTTTAAAGTGTACACTACTTACTAGCTCAAAATCCCCACTAACCTAAGTCCCTCAGCTCATAATCCATGACATCACCACTACTCCGAAGCATCCCATCCACAATATGCACAAAATGCACATAAGTTGGGTTTGAGGCAACATATTGACGGTGCTCAAATCGATGACAGTATCTAAAGGTGTAAGCACAACCAGCAACCGAATAGTAGGGTTTAAATATAAGGCGAGGGAGATGAGGGTGGAAAGAGAAACCATAAAGAGAGACAGCCAAAGGAACCAAGACAAGTTGACAGGGGAAACAGTCCCTAAAACCTCCTCTAGGACACTGCCAAAGGCTAGAACTAAGGAGATCTTACTCCTACAAGGAGCACAATGTCCATAACAAGGATCAAACTAGCCCACCCCAACTTCAGGATTAACTTTCATTGGCCGGTATTTTCAGGCCCAAGAGGAAAAATTAAAATCTCAAAAATACCCATCACAAAGTCCCAAATCCTAGAGGAATGGATAACCTCATCCTAGGCGTCAACCTTCCTGGAGGAGATCCAAATCAAGGGACACCCTAAGGACGTTCTCTCGAAAAAAGAAAAAGAAGTTGTGAAGAGACTAAGAGAGGGGTGAGGCTAAGGGAGAGAAGCCGAGAAAGAAAATGAAATAAAGAAGAAAACATGAGGCAGAGAAAAGCAAGCTCGGAGACAAGATATAGAAAAAAGCTACCCGAAGAAAATCTAAGAAAAATGTTAGAAAGACGATCTAGTAAGAAAACCTAAGAACATATGTAAGAGAGTGAAAGGGCGGGAGAGAAAGGGAAAATAGGAGAAAGTGTACCTAAAAACCAAATCTAGAAAGGAGAAAACAAAATAGAACGAAGAAAATAGAGGAGGTAGATACAAAAAGAAAGACAAACCAATAGAATGGGAGACGAGGAGAAATGCACACTGTGAGAGATAACAATAGAATGGGAGAGGAGGAGAAATGCACACTGTGAGAGATGAAAGGTTATTGATGCAGATCAAAATTTGGATGCTATAAATTTTTAATTTTATTTTTGTTAGTTTTATTTACTAAGTTTAATTATTAAAAATATGACTTTTTTGGGTTATTTGATAAAATCCGTATATTTTTTTGAAGTTAAGTCTTTTGCTTTTAAAGGGTATGAATAAGTTGATATCTTTTTGTTAAAATGTTTTTGTGGATGAGGTCTGTTCCTCCTTATGGACAAAGCAGATAGAGATAGTGATTTATTATGGGTCAACATTAGAATGAGTAGTATTAGCAAGTCTGTCCTTTTTATTGAATATTAGATAGAGTTGAAGATCTTTTTAGTAAGTATGGTTTATTAGGAAATAAAGAAAACTTTAGAGAGAAGGAAGATTTTTATTAAGGACGTGAGATATGAATGGGAGAAAGAAATGATCCCTTCCTTTTTGGTAGGGAAAAAGAATGATGTTTTTTTTTATATGGGTAGTTGTTGGTACGTGGGAAATAAAAAAGTTTGGTTAATGACAGTAAGAGTTGAGTGACATTCTTTTTATTAATTATCTTCTTTTAGTAGTTATTTTTTAGGTTGCGAATGTAAACTCATATAAAAAGAGCATGTGATTTGTAAGAGGGAAGATTTGAATTTTATGAATGAAAAAAAATAGATATTTGAGATCGTCTAGAGTAAGAGAGAGAGAGAGCGCCCTTTGTGTGTGTTTTTCTTCTCCTTTGTTTATGGGCCCGTGCTGGAATACTTGTATCCTCGCGTTTTGTTCTTTCTTTTTATGATTTCCTTCAAGGTTTTATTTCTCTCCCTTGAAAGCGGTTATTTTTGCTGGTGTTGTTTGCCAGTAAATTTTATAATGCGTCAGGTAATATCAAAGCATAGTCGATTAATATGGATCATGGTGTTCGTCGATTGGCTTCATGGCTCGTGGACAAGGTATATGACCGAGCATCGAGACTCAATACATCCAGCGAGAATGAAACCTCCGAGCTCTTTGTAAGATAGATATCAAAATTTTAAGACGGCAAGTAAAAGAGCTGACCCTGCGCTTGGCACAAAAACTAGCTTCGACATTAGTAAGTCAGAAGCTATTTTCGAGAACCCGTTCCATGCCAATGCCCTATGTCGGGAGCCTCATGGTCGGGAGAATGATCTATTTCCTCATTGTCAAGAGATTGATCTACCAAAGTTTGATGAAGAACCAGTTGAAGATGAAGGACGTGTAGTTTTGGGTCTTCAATTGCAATCATCATTATTGGATGTCACAAGTTACCCCATCTTTGATGAGGTTCCTATTTTTTATGAAAAACAAGATGAAAGGAAAGAAGTTATCCTTGAGGCGCAAGGATATCTAATTTTCTTATCGATAGAGATGTGGAGAATCAAGATGACTTAATCCCAGAGAAGATCGATCTATGGAGATGGTGGTGGAGAATCAAGATGACTTGATCCCAAAGGAGATCGATCTATGGAGATGGTGGTGGAAAATCAAGATGACTTGATCCCAAAGGAGATCGATCTATGGAGATGGTGGTGGAGAATCAAGATGACTTCATCCAAGAGGAGATCAAGCCTATGGAGATGTATGATGAAGAAAACGATGAGATCAAGCCTATGGAGATGTAAGATGGAGAAACCGATATATTTGTGTAGACATCCCATTTTAAATTTGGTCAAATTTGTGGTTTCTTAAACCTTTAGGATCATACTTAACCTAAGAAATCCAAATCCATGGTTCACACAACCTATCTTGTGACCCGGAACCAGTCTGCCTTCCTGGAACCCTACAGAAACCTTGTCTGTAAACACCCTGTTTTACTAAAACAATCATTAAAAATAGCAAAAAATCCATTTTGAACCAAATTTTTTCTGGTAGCTTCACAAGAGGTTGAGAAACACACTTGAAAAGAAAATTTTCAATTTTGAGTATTTTTTATTTGTCTCCCAGGGGACACGACCCGTGCCTCCCAAAATGGTATCTTTGACTGGGGGTATTTGTTTGTTGCAGGAGGATATCCTTCCCAACGGATTTTGACCCCTATAAATCCGCTTTTCGTGGCATTTTGAGGGGGATGGACAAAGAATAGGGGACAGAGAGGAACGATTAGAGATAGAAATGAAAAACCCTAAAGCGTTGCATAAGAGAAAAATCTGAGAGAAAAACCCTATAAATCCTCTTTTCGTAGCATTTTGAGGGGGATGGACAAAGAAAAACCCTACGGGACAAAGAGAAACGATTAGAGATAGAGATTAAAAACCCTAAAGCGCTGCATAAGAGAAAATCTAAAAGGAAAACTCATAGCACAAACCCTAAGCTAAGCCTGAGAACCCTAGTTCTAAGAAATTTTCGGGGCACAACCACGCTACTCAATCAAGACTTGCTTACCAACATCAAAATCAGAGAGGCAAAGAGGACGCTGGTGTTGATATGGGCGAGCTCTTGAAGGCTCAGGAGTCTCGAGCCATCCGGCCCGGTTTGGTATGTTTTCTTCTTTTGTTTTACTGCTTTAATTTTATTTTGACCTTATTTTGATTAGTTTTCTTAAAAAATCATTTTTTTGATGCTTTGGATCATGTTGGCTCTGCCATAAATCTGAGAGCAGATCTATTCGTTTATGAGCAGATCTGGCCTCAAATCTGAATTTAATTTGTCTCACTTTCTTTACCACTTATTTCTTTCATTTTCATCATTTTGAGGTGTCAGATTCGACAGATCTTTATTTCCAGATCTGTCAAATTTTGCATCATAAATAGTTTGGTGCGCACCGTGGGGTGTTTCGAGCTTGAGCCAAGCGTCAAAGCACAATTTATTTCACTATTTTTCACTGTGATCAGTTAAAAAAAGTCCCAGGAATCTACAAGGATCAGGATCCAGGGTTTCCATGCTATGAAACCCTGTCTAATATGGGCGACACCAGAAGTGTCGCCTGGGTAACACCACCAGTGCCGCCCAGATCCAAGGCGACACTCCCCGTGTCGCCCAAAATTTTAAAGTTTCAGAATTTTCTGAAAACTTGCAAATATATTCTAGGGCCTTTTTTATGACGTTTCACAAAATTTCAGAGCAAAATAAAATTTTTAAAAATACCAAAACATATTTTACTTGATACAGATCTATCATATTTGCTTTTATCTATTTACTCTGTTTTAATTTATTTCATCAAAACTATTTTTTTTCATACTTATTCTAAGTTTAAAGTAGTCTTATTTCATCAAGATTAACAAGATAAAAATACAAAAATAAAAAATAATTTTT